TTTGTATCGGTACTGCTAGATAATCGCTTCGTCTGGTCTTGTGATGGCGAGTGCACTTGATTAAGAAGTGGCCGAAAAGGATTGAACGTGCCAGGAGGGAGAGTTTCATGGTTAATTGGTGAGACAGACTCAGGAGTGTGAGTTTGCGCAGAAGTAGTGTGGAACCTTGGATGAGTCTCTTCTTCCATGCGCTTCTTAGGAGGAGCTTTTGCCCCAGCTGTCTTTCTAGCTGTCATTGCCAGTTTTCCCATGAGATCGGCCGGCAGATTCGTCCTTCTGACTGTGGCATGGGCGCCCTGAAAAGCGTGTGCTGGTTCGTCTCGAAAATCCCTGCCACCTGAATGGGACTGGCTGCTTCTCGACTGGTCGTCATGACCAACTCGCCCTACGTTCTGCGATGGGTTCTGCACCACTGAGGGCCTTGGGGGCGCGCGTCCAGATGAGCCGGCAGCAAGATGCGCAGCACTGCCTCGAGCAATCCTCCTTTCTGCTTGATGGCGTAGGCAAAGAGTCCCATTGAGAGCACTGGAATCGCATCCATCTTCGGCACACCGTTTTGTAGACTGCTGACGAAGGGACTCCATCTCCTAGCGGCCTGGTTCTTCATGAAGATATCTCGATTCTGTCAACTTGCTGAGATGGGTTTCCACGGACACAGGGTCGGGGTTAGTAGATCTCGAAAGCCTTGTTGCCTAGCCAGACCTGCTCTAAAGGACGAAAGGCCGTTGCCCAAGTGCTGAAGTCAACGAAGATACGTCGTTAAGATTGGATGTTTGAGTCTCTCGGAAAACCGTTGGCAAAAGTCGAGCTGAGTAGTGCGCCCTAATTCAAATTCGGAACAACGTGTCGAGCAAGAAGTACACAGCGAGGATGGGTTCCTTTCTCTTCATGGTCTGGGACTTGGAGATTAGGTGGCCAGAGGTGCACGACAGGAGGGTTCTACTGAAGTAAGGTTAGCTTAAAGTTCAACCTGACGTTAGACGGGACCTGGAAGGTCCTTCAAAACAAGTTGGAGCCAAATGATGACAGTTGTAGAAATAAAGTGTGCGCTCAGGTCTTTTCAGTCATTTTGGTCTTCATATTGGGGACCGCAGCGGGTTCGTAGTCTCATCTTGAACCATTTTACTTGTCTTCCTGAGCCTTTGGTCCTACTCCGTTTGGGTAACTCGTAGCAGAACTCCAAAATGAGGTCATGTTCATTTCGCTTCTCAATCCTATATTGGTATACTGCATTGTTTAAGCAGCTCCGTCTGTCGCGTATGCTTTTCGCTCGGCGAAAGCCTTGCGAGGATGAGGACGTGGCTCATTCGTCAAGAACGGCCATTGAACGGTAACAAGATGAGACAACAAACCCAGAAGAATCCTTTTCGATCGGACCTTTTACCAGTAGTCATCACTGCGCGTAAGAAATGTGTGTTGGGGGTCGGGGAAGGACATCAAGGCCTTGGAGAAGCAAAATCGCACTTACCCGTTGGAGAATCGCCTGCTCCCTCAGAGTCGCGCCTTCGGCCGCCAGCACACGACACTTTGGCATGGGTTAGGAAGATAAAGAGCTTTGGGACCGGGTTGAAATCGATTGAAAATGATTGAGTCTTGTTGTGAACGCAGAGTTGTGATCAAGTTTCTCTTCGTAGCTGCGCGAATGCTCAGGGCAAACCAAGCTTTTGTCGAGTCGCAAGGCTGGTCGGGTTGCTGAGGCTCTCGCCTCGCGTTGCGTTCAGTGGAGGTTGATGAAGGTCGCTTGCTTGAATTCACTGGAGGGCCTCTGGGTAATCCTTGCCTAGCTTCGTTAACAGACGGAACGACCTTGACGGGGCACCATCGATTTGCATCCGGGCCCACCCAAAACATCGGCGAACGGATCATTTGTCACCCGTATCACCCCTCCATCCAAAATAGCCTAGCGCGGGGATCTTCAGGCATGAGCTGCTGCCCGTGGTCCCCTGTTCCAGTGTCAACGGTCCACTATCTTGTCGCCAAGTTGCCCGAAGCTCCCTGCCTACCTCAGCACTCGCAGCGCGTGCGTTGCCCCTTCCGCCAAATATACAATTTTGAGACCAGCAGTCGCCGATTGACCAGATCCTGGCTTCCTGAATACTCTCTCGGATTTGGTAGAGCAAGATGAATTTCCTCAAGTCAGCAGTGGCCTCTGCCATTGCACAGGGGCCACCATTCCCTTATAGCTTTGGCGACAAGGTGGACATCGACGAGTCCATATGGACATTGAACAATGGCACCAAGCGAGTATGTCTAGCTACCCGACGACGCAATCGACAGCCCAACATCTAACGCCCCTTGACAGGAAGACGGTTCCAACTGCAGTATTTTCTCCTTTGATATTGCCGCCAACAAGTCCCGACTACCCCTGGCGAAGAACGCACTGCGAAAGCTGAGGACCTTACGACACCCAGGTGTCATCAAGGTGTTGGATACCGTGGAGGTAAGGGCGGCCCTTGACTACCTTACACGGAGCTTTGTCTCACAAGACTATGCAGACCGATACATATATCTACATTGCGACCGAGCGAGTGGTGCCTCTACGATGGCATGTGAAGAGAAAGAGCCTCACGCCAGAAACGATAAAATGGGGATTGAGCAGCGTTGCGGTATGTTGGGTTGATAATATAGTTGAGCGGGAAGACTAATTTTTCCCAAAGCGCACCATCAAATTTATCAATGATGAGGCTTCATCAATACACGGCAACCTAAGGGTTGGCTCTGTGTACACATCTGAGAGTGGGGAGTGGAAGATGAGCGGGTTTGAGGTTCTGAGCAATGTGAAAGACGACGAAGCAGTGATATACGTAGGTATTCCTCCTTGATCTTGGGCAACACATTTACTGACATCGAGGCTTAGACATACGGCAGCTTGGTCCCAGATTCAGGGCGATATGCGCCACCTGAGCTTGCTCGTGGTGGCTGGGATGCCATCAAGAAGAGCCCGCATTCCGCAGTGGACTCATTTGGTTTCGGATGTATGATATTTGAAGTCTTCAACGGCGACTTCATGGGCTCTGATCAAGCCGGGCAGACGAAAAGCATTCCTCCGACCATGCAACAAAGTTACAAGCGTCTCGTCAACCCAAACCCTAAGGCGCGTGTTAGCGTTGGCCATTTCCTAGAACAAGGACAACGGAGTGGATCTTTCTTTGACAGCCCCTTAATCAAACTGACAGAAGGAATCGAGAATCTGGGTGTGAAGACTGAGAGTGAGAGAGAGGCATTCCTCGAGTAGGTCCTTTGATGTCGAGTCAAGTATGTTAAGCATGTAACTGACCCATACAGTGATCTCGATCAACTGACGGACGATTTCCCCGAAGACTTCTTCAAGATGAAGATTCTCCCGGAGCTCATCAAGTCAGTTGAGTTTGGCGGCGGCGGCCCGAAGGCCTTCAGTGTCGTAATGAAAATTGCAGCCAAGCTTTCAAACGAGGATTTTGACTCAAAGATCACACCCGTCGTAATCCGGCTATTCGCCAACCCCGATCGAGCGATCCGCGTCTGCCTTCTCGATAGCCTGCCATTGATGATCGATCGGTTAACACAAAAAGTGGTCAACGACAAGATCTTCCCACAGCTCGTCACTGGCTTCACAGACGTGGCGCCAGTTGTCCGAGAACAGACTTTGAAGTCAGTTTTAGTCATCATTGGGAAGTTGTCTGATCGTACCATCAACGGAGAGCTGCTCAAGTACCTCGCCAAGGCCGCCAACGATGAACAGCCGGGCATTCGAACAAACACCACAATTTGTCTGGGAAAGATTGCCAAAAACCTTGGAACATCTTCGAGAGCCAAGGTGCTCATCGCTGCCTTCACCAGGTCCCTGCGTGATCCATTTGTGCATGCCCGAAATGCCTCGCTAATGGCCCTCGGCGTCACAGGAGATTGCTTCTCCGACGAGGATGTGGCTTTGAGGATAATGCCCGCGGTCTGCCCCTTGCTGATTGACAAGGAGAAGGTGATCCGTGACCAGGCGAGCAAGACGATGGACGTTTACCTGAAGCAGGTCAGGAAGGCCGCCTCCAACATGCCAGAAACCGCTCTGCCTCCTCAGGCCGCAGAAGGCGCCGGCGGACCTCGCATGAGCACTCCCCAACCCAACGAGGCCTCGGCAGCATCCTGGGCCGGGTGGGCCATCTCCTCTTTCACCAACAAGATTTCGACTGCGAACGGTGAGATGCAAACCTCCAACGGCTCAGGCGCTGCGTCTCCCAAGCCGACTCCATCGCCAGGCCCCGACGCGAAAAGGCCGACCACCTCGTCAGCTTCGGCTCTGCATCGTCAGGCGGTCAAGTCCCCCCCGCCAATGTCGCGAACACCGTCGTCGGTCGTGGCAGACGCCTTCAACCCGGAACCTGCGGACGACGGCGGAGACGCTTGGGGCGATCTTGGAGACGATGACGGTTGGGGAGAGCCAACCACCAACAGCAGCTCGTCGGCTAAGAAGGCAACTACGGCCAGTGCAACTCCATTTGACGACGGTGCAGAGCCAGATTTCGCCGGCTGGCTGGCGGCGCAATCCCAGAAGAAGACCGGAGGAAGCAAGCCGCTGCCAAAGGGCCTCTCGAAGTCAACAACAGCAGCGAAGAAGCCTCTGGTGTCGAAGCCGGCTGCTAAGCCTGTGGTAGCGAAGAAGATCGACATGAAGCCAAAGGACGACGATGACGATGAAGGCTGGGGAGATGGATGGTAGGTGATAATCGCAGCAAGACAAGACAAAGTTTGCAGCATTTACGGCGTTAAGGGGTGCGGGATACCACGATGTTGCAAGTAATGTTCATGTAGCAGTAAAGCCTGCCAATTGAGAATTTGTAATGCAGACGGCCGCAGCCTCATCTGTGAATGCGATACAAAGGACTGTCCCGGACGCCCCGCCAACCCAATCCCCAAAAGTCATAATGAAGAAAAGTTACAAGCCATGATTGAAGGAAAAGCCTTTTGTAGACCAATGAACCAACCAACGCAGACGTGTCCTCCCTAGTAAAACCCTCCCCAAATCGTTATCTAGCAGACTCGGAGTAGTCGTTGAGGGCGACACAGACGGCGCCTCTGTGGTGACCATTGTACTGGCGAATGATCTGCTGGCTGTGAAGCTCCCACAGCCGGGCATAGTGGTCGGAACAGGCCGTCACCAAATAGGCAGAATCGGCGCTGAACGCGCAGTCCCAGACCCAGCGCTGGTGGCCCGTGAGGGTGGCCTCGAGCGGGAACGGCTTAGGCTCCTGGTCGGGGGCAGGCTCAAGGTCCTTGACCTCCCAGATGCGGGCGGTGTGGTCGGCGCTGCAAGTTGCGAGCTTCTTGACGTCGGGCGAGAGGAGAATGCGCGTGATGTACTCCTTGTGCGCATTGAAGTGAGTGACTGGAAGGAGCTGGGTTCGGTCGTAGGCCTGCAGCAGCTGCCACACGAATACGTTGCCCTAGTTAGTCGTTAGTTCTGGTGTCGCAATCTATGTCTGTAGGCAACCGTGAGAAGCTTACGCCATTATTCGCAGCGCAAAGCAGAGAGCCGTCGCTGGCGACCGTGACGCTTGAGACCGAAACGTCCTCCTCGGGAATCAGCTGGTGGGAGCAGTTGTTCTCGGCAAGGTCCCAGACACGGACGCTGCCCTGGCGATCGCAACTGATGATTTCGCCCTGGTTAGGATGGATCACGACGTCGTTGGCGGGACAGCCGTGGTTGTAGGAGCGCTGGACCTGGCCACTGCGTGTCTCCCAAATCTTGACGGTGCCATCCTCGGAGCTGGTCACCATCCACTTGCCCTCGCAGTGGAAAGCGACGCCGGTGATGTTGCCAGTATGGCCCTCGAAGGTAAGCAGTGGGTTCGGGTTCGTGGACTTGATATCGTAGAGTTTGACCGTGTGGTGGCCTGCGGCGGCGAGGAAGCGCTTGTCGGGAGAGATGCAGAGGCGATTGACCTGGGAGTCTGGGTGCTGGATCGTACGGGAACAAATGCCCGAGAGGGCCTCCCAGAACCTGCATTCGGAGAATGATTGTCAGTCAAAGATTCCCAATTATTCGGCGGTCGGGATCGAGCCTTGAATAGTTTCGTACCTGATTGTGTGGTCGTAACCCGCTTGGACAAGGTTAGTGACCGATTCCAATGCTTTGTCGACCGAGAGAAAGAGGTAAAGGTTCCTCAAGGCTCAAGAGAACTCACCTGTGCAAAGAATCACAGACATGGTGACTGTGATGAAGCCTTCGGCCTCAGTTATCGCATGTTATGATGTATGTGTGTATGGAAGATGTTGGTCGAATATTGAGGAAGGCGCATCCAGAAATTGGGAGTTGTATTTGCGCGCGCAGGATCGCCAGTAGGAGGATGCAGCCCCTCCACGATGTAGTCGGCTGGGTTGGACTCTCGACTGGAGCTTCGGCTCACATTCCTAACAATGCGGCCCCACTACAGGTCCGGGGACACCTGGGGTCTCACCGAGGTGTGGCTGGTGTCGGGATTACTTCGGAATTTGGCACACAGACTACCACTCACCACCACGTAGGAGAAGGCGCGCCTTTGAACAAATGAATGCCCAGCTCCATTATTTTTACGGTCTAGAATTCAAGAGGCAACTAACTACCTTTCGACATGGAATTCATATGCGTATGCCCTTCCTTCATTTGAAGACTGACCACTCCTTGTCTGACATCTTCTACTGGCCACAACTATTGTCACTTAATTCTCTATTCTAAATCTCCTAATCTTTTCGAGTGTGACTCCGTCTCTATCGCACGCCTTCCTAAAAAACACACTCTCATTCCACACAGCCATGATGTCTCCATAGGCCTGTATCCTGCCCTGGTCAAGGACGAGCACTCGATCAAAAAGCATAGCAGACTCCATGCGATGCGTGACCGCTATCATTGTACTACCCTTCAGTGTCTCTTTTACCATCTTCGTAATTTCAACATCCGCTTGGACGCTAAATCCTCCCAGAGTCTCGTCCAGCACACATACCCGTGGTTTCTGAAGTATCATGGACGCTAAGGCAATCAGTTGTGCCCTCCCTGTTCCTTGAGCGACCTGCTCGTCAACAAGCTTGTCGAGTACGAGAGGAGCCTGACTGTGCAGCCCGGCCACCCTGTCCAAATCCGACAGTAGACGACTGATTTCGTCACGAGAATGGCTGGTTTCTGGATCGACAGCCTCTCGGACAGTGCTACTGGGAAATGAGGCGGCATCGTGAGGGACTGCAACGAGATGGGACCGCAAGACATGTAACGGAATGTCCACCATTGGTATGCCATCCAGGGTGACGGTGCCCATCGTGGGATCGAGTAAGCGGAGTAGTAGGGCGACAAGAGTCGATTTACCTCCACCCGTAGGTCCTACAACCGCAACATGCGTATCGCCTGGGATGGTGAAAGATATTTGCTGCAGAGCAGAGGATGTCTCCTGGAGATTTTCTTGACGGTGAGAGACACTCATGTTCCGAACAACTATCTCCCCGGAGTTCGGCCACGATTGCTCGAGAGAAAAGCGGTAACCCAAGGCACGCTCCGTCTCGCCCTCACGAGGCAGACTGGTTGCATAAGCTGCCAGGCGGTCAACTGCGACCATTGACTGAAGGGCGCTCGTAGAGAATCTCATGCCTTGTCTCAGGGATGCCGGTAGCACCAACGCTTGACTCATTATCAGGCCAATGATAGAAGGAGATAATGAACCTGAGGCAGTCACTACAAATAGACCCGTGAGCCCAATAGTACTGGCCACGATAGCATCAAGTCTCACTTCAAGCCAGCGTAGGTTTGCGGCGGCCAGCAAGCGGATATTACTCCAAGCGTTCAGCCGTTTGACTAGAAGGGACCGAGCCGATATTTCGGTCTTGTAAACAGAGATGCAGCTAGCGCCGTCCACGCTCTCGCTGAATGCAGCGTTCACACGGGACCGTAACTCAGCTTCGCGAGATCGAGCTGCCTTCAAACGAGGAGCGTAACGGCGCATCATAATGACGACGGCGGCTAGGCCTGGTACTACAACAAGGACAAGCTGGAGGAACTATCGTGAGCACAAATCTTTCGTGAGCATGTGAAAGGTACATACATTGATCTGCATTGCCAACATCAGGGCAACTCCACCCAATAGGCGCGCCAGATGGAGGGTGGCATTGCGCGTTGCCTCGATCAGCTCTCTATCGGTCGTATCTACATCTTTGGAGAGGCGATCCATGATACTTCCCAAGGAGTGGCTTTGGAAGAACCTCATGGGTGCCCCGACCACACGTCTCACTGATCGCTCCCACAGGCTATGGCTCGCTTGCAACATCTTTCCCGTGATGTTCAGGCACAGCACATACGCCAGTATCGCCTCTCCAAATCCTAGCATAGCGAAGATTGCTACTGACGCGAGACCCGACAGCCCTAACCGATCAGAAGTCCACAGTGAAAGCCAAAGCACGAGGACGGCGGCGGTTACTTGCCAGCAAAAGACAATGCCTGCTGTTGTGGACGTTGCTCTTGGGCCACCCACGAGTTCCAGGTACCAGTCGAAGGACTTTTGTACTCTAGCATTTGCTTGTGGTGCTGTTACAACAGAGGCACGTGTAGTAGTCGGACCTGCTACTTGTACTGCATCCGCATGCGATGAGGGCTGTTCTGGTAGCGGTTGCATCGTCTTAGTCTGAGGAGACTCGTCCGTTCCGATGGATGGTAAGTGTTGTTCAAGTCTATCCAGAGACCTCAGCTCGCTGATACGTCCATTGTCGAGCCACAGCACCCGGTCACATCGGCGGGCCACCCAAGCCTGGTTTGTTGCGATCAGGCGCGTTTTGTGCTCCAACAAGCTGCAAATTCCACCTTCAAACGCTGCCTTTCCTGTTGCAGGGTCAAGATTACGGAGACAATCGTCAATGAGGACAATGTCAGCATCCGAATACATGGCTCGGGCCAGACTGACACGTTGAGCTTGGCCGCTTGAGAGACCTTGGCCTCCAGAGCCAATGGTAGTGAGATCCCTGCGAGGCATTCTGTCGATATCGCCCAGGAGAGCCGAAGCGTTGACCACTTTCCAATATCTGACCTCGTCGAACTTTTGGTCGAAGAGGATATTGCTGCGGATCGTTCCTTTCCTTAGCCATGGTATCTGACCAGCCATGGCCACCTTTGACCCGATGCCCAGTTCTAAGCCGCCAGAATCAAGGCACATTTGACCTGCGACTGCACGTAGGAGAGATGATTTACCAGATCCAGGCGCACCACAGACAGCTATCAGCTCACCTTTCGTGACCTGAATATTGGTGTCAAAAGACAGTACGAAATCGCCATCTTCAGTTGTAGCTGGCCAGCAAACCACTGTGTCCTGAGCTACGTCAACTGCCCAGTCTACGGAATTCGCCATCGTTTCTCCAGGCTCTTCCGTCTCTAACCACTGCTCAATTGCGCGGCATCCCACCAGTAAATCCTGCAATTGCACTGCAGCCTGTGCTGCGCGGTTCACATGTGGTTTGAGCGCTAAGAACAGAGCAAAGGATGAGAAAGCCTTTGCTGGATCGGGTACGCCCTCGTGGAGCGTGTGATAGAGGATGAGACTCGCCATTGAGGCCAATGTCGGCAATAGGGCGCACGCCGCTTCGAGCACCGCGCGGTTGTGCCATAATCGGCTTGCCGTGACCATCTCCACCACCCTCATCCCGCACAACTTGTTTAGGACCATGGTCTGGGAAGCCCACCCCGCGAGTTTGATCCCGCGGATGCCTTGGATGACTTGCTGCGTGCAGGCTGCTCGTCGTCTGCAGAGTCCGCTGAGATCCTTTTGCTCGCCCCAGATGCGGAGAGCGACGTTGGTGAAGATGGGGAGGCCTAGGAGCAAGACCACCATGCCACCTAGCGATGAAGTGTCTATATTCGCGGCCAACATGGGGATCGCGAGAACAAAGCTAGCCGGTACAGTCCAGATAGCGTTGATACCGCTGATGCAATCCTCTATGCGCGATGCTTCCACAGATGCGAGATTGAAGACGGCGCCGGAGTTCCAGATTTGTCGTTTTGCCCTTCTCTTTGATTCTTGGCCTGTTTGAGATGAGACAATTGCCGCCGAAGAGGGCGGTGCCAGGAAGGCCTTGTCCATGATGATGTACGTGAGGGCAGCCTTTGCCTGGGCTCCAACACCTTCGAGTCTGTATCGCGAGGCGTTGATGAGGATGCCAGCAGCCATCTGTGTGAGTGTCATGGCTGCGACAAGAGCGTAGCTATGTGCCATCCGGGCGTCGTGGCTCTCCCGCTGACCTTGCAAAGTCCCATCCGCTGTTGAGACTTTGGCGTTTTTGGTAGGTTCTGGTAAGGCTACGAGAAGCCAACGCAAGATAATGGGCGGGAGGGCGGCTGTCAGCATAGCAGCCAGCTCGATAAAGCCTCCTAGTAGAAGTCCACCGCGAAGACATTTTAGAAGGCTGATGGCGAGCCGACGACCTTGAGCTTGGGGATGCGTTGGGGTGTCGTAGAAACATCGAGAGAGCCCGCGGGCAAGGGGCTCTGCTTTCTTCCAGTCCGACAGCACGCCCTCGAAAGCGACTTCTATAGGGCCATCATCGGCATCGTCAAATTCACTGACATCTTCTCCATCTAGCTTCTTGGTACTAGGAGGCGGAGGCGGCGCCCAGGAGAATAGCATCAGGCTAATCACCCAGCAGAGGCTGGACCACATTGTGAATCGAGGCACATGCATCCTACCGGAAAGTTCGAGCTCGATACGGCCCAGCTACTCACTCATTGATCTGGAGCATAAGAGTAAAGGAGATCCACAGATAATGTTCAACAGCAACGCGACGAGATTTGCTCATGGTTTCTCCCCAGCCAGGAGCCCCAAGGATCTGAAACTTTGGTCTGGCGACAATTACTCAACTCGGGTCTAGCATTCACTGCGAGGTCAGTGTAGGCCTGAGCCGGGGCGGCATCAATCAAGCAAGCTACTACGTATGTATACGATGGTTGTGCCGGGGGTTGACATTAATATAAAATACTTTGTTAGTCCATTGATATCCCACCGGTCGGCCCGGCGGCATCTAAGTGACAAGAACCTTATTTGAAAGCTCCACTGACAGGCGAGTATACCTGTGCAGGAAAGCTGAAGCATCGACTGATCTGTCGAAATCGATGTTCATTCCTTGTTCGTGGGTCAGGTTCTAATAAGACTCTTGTGTTCTGAATCATGTCCTCTAGTCGTGTCAGGAGTGGTTTTCATGAATTA